AACGGCCGAGCCCCCCCCCCCTCTTTCCCTTCTTGAAGGGTGATGATGTTGAGATAACGTGTCCGGACTGACTGGCCCCTTGCAATTCAGAAGTATCTTATATCCTTCATCTTATCCCATCTGGATTAGAACTCAGGTCTGCAGCTCAACAGCTAATGGGTGTACCCACTGAGCTAGGCCCATTGGTTTTAGCCATTGTTTTGACTATGCGACATATCTATTATAAAGGGAAAAGGACAAGGGCTTCAGCGCTGATGACATGACCTTCATCATTCCAACCAGGTGCCCAATCTTTTGTTATAGGTGGACATATCACATGTATGTGATTCCTGGTCCTAATGGTTTGGATATAATCTTCAGGATGTTCCATGTTTTTGCTGGGCAGGAGAACATTTCATGAGCTGGATAATCTCATTGCCAACTTCCGTTGGAGACGATGACGTTAATGCTCTGACATGACGGACCCACTGCTGGTGTGACATGAGTGAAATAGTGGCGATGTTTGTGCTTTCGTAGCATGCAGCGGTGGGACTCAGCCCTAAACTTGAGTTCTCACTTATATTTGTAGACATGGGTCCGAATGAAGAACCTGGTAAGCCGAGGCCAGCATTGAGTCTATCCCCATTTCCGGTTTTTGCAACGGAGTTTGACGACCCCCCAAAGTTCACATGATCTAGGGAATCCGATCCCCGTCAGCCAGGATTCAGTCACATGCTACATCTGTGATCGTGCATGGAAGCTTTCAATTTTAGGTACGAACAATCTCACCTGCCATTTATGGCATGTTCATGTTGATAGCTCGGTGTGTATTCCTGGTTGCAGTGTGCACTGGCAACTCGGGCCAGCATCCCATTTATCATCATTACATAGAGAATGGAACACGCTGCGTCACAATGGGGAGATGCTTCCAAAACTGCTCGCTACCCCATGTCTCTCTGTCATTGTGTAACCTCAACCAAAAAACTTGGGAGTTCAACAATAAAAAACAAAAAACAGACCACTCACTCTTCTGGCGTCAGTGGCGATGAGTAGGTGGATAGATCCCTACTTGAGTAGAAAGAACTGTTAAAAAAGAAAAGGGGTAACTAGGGCGCAGTCACGATTTCGGTTTTAAATCCAGTTCAGGTATCCCTTGAATACAACACATCCCCACCCGACCCTGAAGCTGGGTTGTATACATTCACAATTTTCCTTGGTTTGACACAACGTTCGCGAAATCATGACTGAAACACATTTTCAGACTTAAACCGTGACAGTGGCCCATGCAAGGAATATGAGTGGGAACGATGTACAGAAAACCAAGTTGCGAAATCACACAGATGTCCAAGTAGTCGTGTACAAGCAGAGAGCACAAATGCACCGAGATTCCATCCAAATAAGAGCAATACAATGAAGTACTGAGCCAATGTTGAAGCCCTCAGGCCACACCAACACAGTATACAAAGTTGCTCCTCTCTGTCTGGCAGCCAGCGCCCAGCGTACACTACTCGACTATCCTGCCTACATCAGCATTCTCGCAACAGGCTCACTTTGACTCTCGAAGACCAATGTACATGACATCAACACCATTGTCGACCTCTCTCATGTTCCAGGTACGTATCTCGTCTCCCCGCATCAGACCCTGTCCACGCACACTTGCCTCCTTCCTGAAGACCACCGATCACCCTCTCACCCCCTAGCGCCCTGCAGCCCGGCTATGGCTGCTTGCGCTCCGCTGCCCAGCAGCACCCGTCTTCACCACACACACGCCCGCATGTGCTCTGGCCTCAGCACAGCACGCAGCCTCTAACGCAGGAGCGCAGCAGCGTGACCGCATTGCCTGCATGGGCCAGAATCCTGCCCCTGGCTGCCCTCGTTCCATATGGAAGTGGCAGCCCCTGCTTGGCTGCGTGTGGCCTGGCTGGGAAGCTTCCAGTAGCTTCAGGTCGGGCCCCAGTACCTGCGCCCAGGCCCAATGCTACAGTTGAGGGCCTGGTCCCTTTACAACACGGCCTGAGTCTTCAGACTTGGGCTGTTTGCTGCATTTGCACAGGACTGGGGGTATGTACGTCGACAATGCTGCTTTTGCGTCGGCCTGTGGCCACTCTGTGATGTATCGGCCCTGCATTGTGTGTATGTGCCCAGGCGCAACTGCCACGGCCTGGGCCAAACTGTTCGATACAGCTTAGGGAGGCTCACGCGTCCATGAAACCAACTGGCGGGCTGCAACAGCCTGAGTACCCACATATGAAAAATGCCGAATTTTGGCCTGAAGTGAATATTCAGGCCCGCCTTCACTTAGGGCAGGCACTTGGCTTGCTTGGGGCCTCTGCCCAGAACATGTGCATGTCTGATAAGGGCCCTGCGAGGGCTCATTCCTTGCATTCCATCTCCCTTAGCTTCGAAAGTCCACTGCGATGCTTCATGCTGGTGCCCTCCCCTTCAATTTTCTTTCATACTCGGCCATGATCTGAGGAGTTGTCTTGACAAGTTCCTCCTTTGTAAACCAGCGATTTTCCTTAGGATCAGTATGATGCCTGAACTGTAGTCTGTACTCTCTCACAGGCTTAGGCGGTCTACCCCTGCCAGCTGGCTTGGGAACAGGCATGTCTCTGTGCTCCAGGATATCGTCAACGTCCACGTGACCATCCATGGTTGGAAGCAGCATAGATCTCCTTGATGGGAACTGTTCTGTCTCAGCGGAAGGTGCAAGCTTTGAGGTGTGAAACACAGGGTAAGTGCGTAGGTGACGAGGGACCATCTTCTTCACTACCCACAATATCCAAGACTTCCCAAGGACCGAAATATTGAGGCATTAGTTTTCTAGAGATGCCGATCTCCTGTCCCAACTTGCTAGCCTTGACCCAGACACATTCCCTGAAATGTGGATTGTTGGTGATGCTTATTCTTAGAAACAATCATTGCTCCTTGAGATTTCTTGATGTGTTCGACAGTCTGCTGCAACAACTTTTCATACTGGACACCAAACTCGATGGTTCCAGGAGTGACACCGGTGGTGCTATGTACAACATTGTTGTACAAACTGGTGATGACTGGTAACTTTTCATCCCAGTCATCCTGGCTAGGCTTGATATAATGCCTCAACAGATGCTGCACACACGGTGCATTTGTTCAGCCTTCCCAGAAGTCATCTGGAGTTGGCTGCCCATTTGTTCAGCGACCTTCTGCCACATTGCACTTGTAAATCGGACATCTCTATCACTAACAATGGTCTTGGGCAATCCAAAATCACGCACTCAGTTATCCATAAATAACTTGATGACGTGCTCAGTTCTGGCAGTCTCCGGCATGGCAATAAGTCTAACATACTTAGTGAACCTATCCACTATGACGAAGATATGCCTTTTGCCATTCTTGCTGGTCACGAGGGTTTCCATAAAAAACATGGAAACACTCTGTTCCCTCTCCTGCCAGATGCGCCATCGGGAAGAATGTCATCTCTCAAGGTAGAGCGCTCACGACTCCTTACATGAAAGAGAGGACACTCAAGGTTGGACTCACTTCCTCACGGTAATAAGAGATTGAGAGGGTAGATAAGGTAAGGCAACAACGTACCTGGAGATAGTTGCCCCCAACCAGAGATTTCTCACCAATTGAGCCGACGTGCATTTTGATGACCGGTCATAGCCTCGGTACCACCCACAACGCAGTGCAGTGCCACCTCAGCCAAAATGCCACATCAGCATGCTCTCATCATCATACATACATCCGCTGTGGCCACAACTCCCACGCTGTCGCCGCAGCCTTCCAGCGGCCGACCCCTCTGCCTGGGCCCTGCTATTTCAAGCCAGCGTGAAAGTATCCTTAATGCACAGAAGCATCGTCAGCACACCAAGTAACAATGTTGCCAACGCTAGATAAGCGGCGATCTCGAACCAGCTCCGGTACCAAATTGCAAGGAATATGTGTGGGAACGATATACAGAAAACCAAGTTGCGAAATCACACAGATGTCCAAGTAGTCATGTACAATCAGAGAGCACAAATGCACCGAGATTCCATCCAAATAAGAGCAATACAATGAAGTAATGAGCCAATGTTGAAGCCCTCAGGCCACACCAACACAGTATCCAAAGTCGCTCCTCTCTGTCTGGCGCCCAGCGCCCAGCGTACACTACTCGACTATCCGACCTACATCAGCATTCTCGCAACAGGCTCACTTCGACTCTCGAAGACCAGTGTACATGACGTCAACACCATAGCCCGGCTATGGCTGCTTGCGCTCCGCTGCCCAGCAGCGCCCCTCTTCACGACACATGCGCCCGCACACGCTCTGGCCTCAGCACAGCACGCAGCCTCTAATGCAGCAGCGCAGAAGCGTGACCACATTGCCTACGTGGGCCAGAATCTTGCCCCTGGCTTCCCTCCTTCCTATATGGAAGTGGCAGCCCCTGCTTGGCTGCGTGTGGCCTGGCTGGGAAGCTTCCAGTAGCTTCCGGTCGGGCCCCAGTACCTGCGCCCAGGCCCAACGCTGCAGTTGAGGGCCTGGGCCCTTTACAGTTGGGCACGGCCTGAGTCTTCGGACTTGGGCCGTTTGCTGCATTTGCACAGGACCCGGGGTATGTACGTCGACAATGTTGCTTTTGCGTAGGCCTGTGGCCACTTTGTGATGTATCGGCCCTGCGTTGTGTGTATGTGCCCAGGCGCAACTGCCACAGCCTCGGCCAAACAGTTCGACGCAGCTTCAGGAGGCTCACGCGTCCATTCAACCAACTGGTGGGCTGCAACAGCCTGAGCAGTGAGTACCCGCATATGAAAAATGCCAAATTTTGGCATCTGGTGAGTATTCAGGCCCGCCTTCACTTAGGGCGGGCACTTGGCTTGCTGGGGGCCTCTGCCCAGAACATGTGCATGTCTGATAAGGGCCCTGAGATGGCTCATTCCTCGCACCCAGTTTCCACCCCCCAAAATGAAAACTTTTAAGGCCGGCAGCCTTGAACTGACGGGCCCCAGAGTTTGAAGTGAGGCCTTTTTTTCAACAGTTGCATAAGTGTACCCTTCACCCAGATGGGTTGCACAGATAATGGTTACTATTTCCTTCCTAATTTTAAGCCTTTTCCAGGAGGTTGGATTGCAAATCTGATGTGCTTTTTTCTAACTTTGGATGTAGCCTTGAGGAAAGGTGGCCGCTGTTCCTGGTGGTTCAATCCATTTCTCTGTCCTTCCTTTTTATGCCTTTATTTGTTTTCAATGTGCGAAGCAGGTGCCGTCAAATTATACCCGCACAAGCAAGCCATGGACCCCTGGGGAACCAGCGCACTGGCAGCAGTATGATGTAATATGTGAGCCTGTTTACTAGGTGTGTTGAGAAGTAGGGTAGTCTATTGTTGGATGGTCCATTTGTCTGTGCTGTCAGCATATCTGAACAGCGATGCAAGCCTGCAGTCTCTATAGTTTTGCATCTGGTGGCAGCAGCTGATAGTCTGCAGCTTTGATGATATCACAGGTATCTTAGCGAGTTATGTTTCGCGGGCAACCAGGGTTATCAGTTGGATGCTGGTAAGCAAGACTCAATACGCACTTGGTGGCAGTAGGTGATAGTCTGCAGATCAATGGCTGGTTCCGGCCTATGGTAATCAGTTCTCTGCTGGGCAGTGCCC